TACAGGCTTATTCTATCAGGCTTGGCTGTATTAGCTGCTTCTATATGGCCCAGACTTAAAGCCTACATTCTGAACTGATGAGAACAGTCACCAAGTGATGCCCAGGGTAGCCTTCCCCAGCTTTGAGGATGGCCTGAAGCAAGTATGTGGGGTCACTAAAGTACTCTTTGCATCCTTCCATTTTACGTGGTGAATACATCACAGCTGAAGTATCCCCAAGAGTGCCTTGTCCGTGCCCATTAGGAATATAGATTAATAGTTTTTATTTGGACACAGAGAGCTGCCTGTTAACCTTGATTAGCCTGAGCTAGGGTAGCCTAGACCTCCCTGGCCCCTGTAACCAATGAGATGGCATCTGAGAGACACATGGATCACAGAGCCACCTCCTCCTACCTCTGATGGAGACAGAGTAGGGGACTACTGTAAGCCAGGCCCCAAAGAAAGAGAGGCTACAGGGGCAGGGAGGCGGGCTCCTGGCCTGGGCTGCAGACAGAATTCACACATTCATCGCAGAACCAAGCTTTATTTCCTTGGGGAGTCCACCATCTCTTAATCACAAAAGCAATAAGGGTTTCCAGTTTGTTCCTCTGCTGTGTGTAATCAGTTGTTCTAGCTGCCAATCATCAGTCATGTCTGGAAGTTCAGTGAAAAGCCCCCTTCCAGCTTTGGAAACAGCACTGACCCCTGAGGTGACACAGACAATGAAGTCCACCCCCAGGGGCATCCTGTGTGTGCAGGTTGATTTGATCACAACAGTTTTGTTAATATTGCCCTGTATTCTGGAGGGATCTGTTTTCTTCCTCAGGCTTTGATCAATAGGCCACATTGTGTGCCCCATTGGTTGAGTTGGAAAAATCATTTTGAGGAAGTATGGAAGGGAATTTTTCCTTCTGTGAATAACCTTACAGTTCACTACAACATGGAGATTTTCTTCCTAAGGTTAAGAAATCCCTTGGTAAAGCCAGTGCATTTGTCAGCAAGCATATGCTGGAGCAGACAGGTCTATGAGAAGCCGGCAGGTATTCAGACTTAAAGTATTAATAAAGATCAGCACCTGCCTGGTACAGAGGAGGTGCTGGAATATTGTGCTCAAATGAAGGAAGGAATGAAATAATACTTAGCCTGTACTATTTGAAAGTATATCCTGGGCATGACGTGATAAGGTTAGATGTTCCTGGAAGTCAGTGTAGATATGAGAGACATTTCTTGGGCCATGTGGCAATTTCTGAGACATATGGGTCTTTGATAGAGGCCAAGGCCAGTCCCGTGGCAGCCATAGCTGACTGACTCCACAGAGTTACTCATTTCATTGGAAGGCTAGGTGAGATGGGGATTGAATGTATATTGGAAAGCCACGCTTGTATCTCTTATTACTTCTTCTAAATGTTTGTCATTATTTTGGTCAAATTTGGCCACAGGTGACATGTACAATTAGCAATCATACTGTGAACTCTGCAGGCATTGTGTGCTGCTGTATAGACCTGAATTATGTTTTGACTAGATTATAATTTGTCTTGGAATAAACTTTTCCTATAATTCTCATCCTATTTGTGACAACATAGAGGCAAGCAGTATGCTTTGTTTTGAAGAAAAGTGATGTCTTCTACCCTGTACAAAAAGCTACTCGATGTACTTATAATTCAGACTTTAAATTGAACCCTTAAGCCCTTCATTTCTTGCTCTCATGGGGACCCTGCTAGAGAACCCCTGCCTGTTCCAGTGTTGTGAACCAGCTGTGGCTATAAAAAGAAGGGCTGTGCACATGTGTTTGACCTCAGAGCAGCTGGAAGACCCACTCCTCAGTCTTCAGCCCTGTGCCAGTCACTTCTGATGCCCTGCCCACACCTTCTCCACCACCTCCTTCTCTGGCCATTGCAATGGACCTTCTCACAGTTTAGCAACACCCTCCTTCAACTGCACTATATACCCCTCGTTTTCTGCCCTAAGATTCTCAGATGCCTTGGGGTTAGGCATGTGGGACACGTACTTGCTTAGATGTGTGAAAGAATTAGCATTTCCCCAGGGCAACTTCTGATCAGTGCAGAGTGGAAGTTGTTGGATAAAATTTCTACCTAGAGCCCCAAGAGAGATTCTATTGGCATTTAGATTGCTTTTGTCTTTGTTCATTCAAAAAGCAAACATGAATGATGCAGTTGGAAATAGCAGCTCTCTGGCCTGTCTTGTTCTGTAGGTCTATCCCAGGGCTCAGTTCAATGTCTGCCACGTGATAACTACTTCATAAATATTAGCAAAATAATCGGCTGCTTAGGGAAGAATGAGAGGAAGCCGGGTCCATAGCTCAATGGTAGAGCACTTTCCTAACGTGCTCAAGGTTCTGGGTTTAACCGTCAGCAAAAGGAGGAAAATGAGAACAGAAGCAAGAAACAAGAGAGAAAGTATTGAGTAAGTACATCAAGGTAGAAGACATAGCAAAAGCACCATAGTATAAACTTTGATGATAAATTTGGGATGTAGTCACTTGTCTGATTTGACTAGAGCCATTAGATATTGTGGTAAAGTGTTGGAACACTGAGCAGAGGTCTACATTAGTAGATCTTGGTATTTTGATAGAATTAATGTATATAGGTGTTTTTCCATCACCAAGAGAAGCCTCCTCAAGGGCAGGAATCCACATGTGGTA